ACCTAAGAAATGCATACCACCTGGTTTGCATCAGAGAAGGGGACGAATGGAAGATGGCTTTCAACACCCCCACCGGGCATTATGAATATCTTGTCATGCCATTGGGACTAACGCTCCCACTGTTTTCCAGGCCTTGGTTAACGACGTGCTGAGAGACGTGGTTAACCAATTTGTTTTTGTATATATAGATGACATACTCATATTCTCCAAGAACATCAACATTCACAGAAAACATGTCAGTTCTGTCCTGTTAAGACTATTGCAAAACAACTTATTTGTAAAAGCTGAAAAATGTGAATTTCATCAACCCTCCACTTCCTTTTTGGGTTTTGTCATCTCACCTAATAAAATAACTATGGATGTAAACAAGGTCTCGGCAGTACTGGACTGGCCTACACCTAAAGACAGGAAGCAACTGCAGAGGTTCTTAGGCTTTGCCAATTTTTATAGAAAGTTCATTAAGAACTATATTCAAAAAGCGTTCAATACAAAAACAACTGGACTTTATTTGTAACAGAAGACGTTTCGCTCCTCATCCGAAGAGCTTTCTCAATTCAAAGAGCAGTGAGTGAGGGGTTCAGGTTATAAGGCTAAGTGAGATAAGACACACACATATGTAGATTGGCAGTTCACACCTAAACAGTAGGTCTTTGTTCATCTAATTCACAGATGAGGCCCCTCTGTTCCCATCAAGTGTGAAAACTGGCTGGGAATCTGTTTTAAAGTTGCATTATATGTTTTTGAAAGTGGAAATCTGAGGCCTCGTCCTCTGTTAAGAGACGGCTTTTCTCTTTTTACATAAATTGCTTCCTTCACCCCCCTCTCAAACCATCTGTGTTCTCGGTCCAAAATGTGCACATTTTGGTCCTCAAAAGAGTGTCCCTTATCTGTGAGATGGAGGTGAACTGCGGAATTTTGTCCAGAGGAGGTGGCTCTCCTGTGTTGAGCCATGCGTCTGTGAAGAGGCTGTTTAGTTTCTCCACTGTAGAGGTCTGGACAGTCCTCGCTGCACTGGACCGCATACACTATACCACTCTGTTTGTGTATGGGTGTTTTGTTCTTAGGGTGGACCAGCCTCTGTCTGAGAGTCCTGCTGGGTTTGAAAT